TGTACATTCTTAATGTACAAGATAGAATGTGCTCTGTGTTGTAATATTGATATAAAGTAAGATGGGGTTACAGGGAATGGAGAAAATAATAACAAAAAGAGCTGATGTTGCAGAAGTAACTTTATGCTAAGTTAAAAGTTTGATATTAATAGGCATTTATATAAGAAAATATGGATGAAACCAAAGAAAGTGTATGACTTGATAAAAATGATCAAGCCAGGTTTTGTGCCTGGGGGATAATTCATTTGGGAAACAGAGTTAACTATATGCATTGTCTAGAGTTTGGAAGGTTATTTATGGACTGTTGAGACATTTGAAAATTCTTTATATGGAGTAAATTGAAAGTTGTTTATGATTGTTTTCCTACCCTTTTGGGTTTTCATCTTTAAGCAAAAAATAAAAGAAACAGATATGGAGTTTCAAATACTTAGTGGTTTTATTGTATTTTTAATTTTTTCCTATAAAACTTAATTTCACAAGACTGCTGAAAAAATGATCTTTCTCTTTGAATATGTATCTCTAATTCTAGGTGGGTAGAAACACAAGTTGAAACTGAAAATTAAATTCCACATCATATATCTTTTTCCAGGGCTGTTCATAACTCTGGAGGGGTGCAGTTGCAGTCTATCCTGATGAATGGTGCTATTAAGTCACGGGACTTCCCCCTCCCATTGTTTCCTGGCCAAAGCAGACATCTGGGTTCTTTGTTTTTTATCTGCATAAAGTATATTGTGGTGGCAGGGGAGGGGGAGGGCTATAACACATGTTAATCAAATGAGCACGCACTGGTAGGTTAGCATGTCTAGGAGTTCTAAAGAACATGACTTCTCTCTTGCATGGTGTCTTATAAGATCCAGTGTGCTCACGAAGGTACAAAATTTCCAGGTGATAATTACCATCATGATTGCTGATATCATCAATAATAATATTAGGAATTATGAGGAACCACCCTGCCCCATTCCTTTTCCCTCAGACTCAGGTGCGTTGGTGCACTCTTTCCACTGGCTCTGCAGGCACTGAAACCCAAGACCTTGGTTCCCAAGTGCGGGAGCATCCTTCCTTCTCCCTTATGAAAACATGGACAAATCAAGGTCTTATGACTGAGCAGTGTTTTCACGCGGCAAAAATAAGCATTGCTGTGTTAGTGCAGTAATCTAAACTTTCCATTGTTTTGGCCGATCTGTATTACCTTCCTAGGGTCAGGAGGGATGGTGTTAAAACCAGCCTGTTTTCAGAAGTCCTTCGGAAGACAACTCCACTGTCTGGCAGTGATGGCTGTTGGTGCCAGGACTCCTTGCTGTTGTTGTTGCTGTTTAGAGTATTTATTTATTTATTTAATCTTATTTGAATTGTTTACATTATTACAGCTGCCCTCATTTCCTCCCCCACTTTGCCCACCTGCACCCAGCCCTCACCCCCACTTTTCCTCAGGCCACCAGCACACTGTTATCTATGTTTATGGTTTGTGCATATACATTCTTTGGCTAATTTCTTCACTCTCTTTCATCCTGTCCCTCTTCCCCCTCCTCTCTAACAGCTGTCAATCAGTTTCATGTGTTCATACCGCTGTTTCTATTTTGTTCATTAGTTTATTTTGTTCATTTGATTCCACATATAAGGGAGATCACATGGTATTTGTCTTTCACTGACTGGCTTACTTCACTTACCATGATAATCTCCAGGTCCATCCATGGTATTACGAAAAAAAAAAATTAAAAAGGTAAGTGCTCCTTTTTTACTGTTGCATAGTATTCCATTGTATACATATACTACAGCTTTTTTTATCTCTCATCTACTGATGGGCACTTGGACTATTTCCAGATCTTGGCCATTGTAAATAATGCTAATATGAATATAAGGGTGCATATATTCTTTCAAATTGGTGTTTTGGAATTCTTAGGCTGTAATCCCAGAAGTGGAATAGCTTGTCAAAAGGAAGTTCCATTTTTAATTTTTTGAGTTATCTCCACGCTGCTTTCCATAGTGGCTGCACCTGTCTTGATTCCCACCAACAGTATGAAAGGTTTTCCTTTTCTCCACATCCTTGCCAGCACTTGTTGTTAGTTGACTTATTGTTGGTAACCATCCTGGCAGGTGTGGGGAGGAGTTACTCATCGTGGTTTTAGTTTGCATCTCTCTGATAACTAGTGATTTTGAGCACTTTTTCATATGTCTATGGACCATCTGTATATCCTCTTTGGTGAAGTTTCTATTTGGGCCATTTGCCCATTTTAAATTGGATTACTTGTGTTCTGGATGTTGAATTGTATACATTCTTTATGTATTTTGGAAATTACACCCTTATCAGGTGTATCATTGGCAAATATGTTCTCCAATCCAGTGGGCCCCCTTTTCATTTTGTTGCTGGTTTCTTTAGTTGTGTGGAAGCTTTTTAATTTGATGTAGTCTCATTTATTTATGTTCCCTTTGTTTCCCTTGTCCTAGCATATATATTGGCAAAAATATCACTGTGTGAAATTTTACAGCCAGGATTCCTTCTGAATGGGAAGACATTTGTATGGAGTACTGCCTCGTTCTTGCTCTACATCAGCAGTCCCGGGAGTCAGTTCCCCAGGCACACATGATAAGGTAACTAACTCATAGCAGCAGGACACTTCCCAAGTTCTGAGCTCCTTCTCCTTCACCAACATGGGAAGATTATACTTCTCCTACACACCTGAAGAAAGCTGAGGGTATATGATTTATCTGGACCATTTTAATGTGCTAAAAAATTGGGTTGTCATTTTATGTGGAATTCTGAAGGAACAGAGATACTTTGCCAGAGTCTCCTCTTCCACTGCCCTGTTTGGTACTTGGTGATGTTTCAGATGAAGTTGTTCCCCTCTTATCCTGGCTCCCTTGCTGTGGAGTTGAGCTCACAGCTAACCCACTGCTGTTAAAGCCACTGAGATTTGGAATGTACTTGTTACTGCAATTCTTCTCAAAATCTCAAAGAATGCTCATCTAAGAAGTGCGTGACTGTCTCCTGGTCAAACTATTTTGAAGCAGAGTGCTTTAATACCTTACTACCAGGTCTATGGTTTTCCTCCTCTACTTTTCTTTCTAACATTTTCTTAGCAACTCTGTTGATCTAGCTTTTGAAACCATTCTCTCTCCAGTCTTATCAAGGTGGCCACCATTGTCTCGCTTTGCAGAATTGCCTTTCTTTAACTGTACTAAATTTGTTCTCTTCAAACCTACTTTTAGTATGCTATGGATTTTTGAACAATATCTCATTTTAACATAAGTGGGATACCCAAATACCATTTTAAAACTACAAATTTAAGACAATTTCTTTGAGCAATATAGTGAAAAAAGGAAAATCTGGGAATTCTGGAATTGTGAGCTGAAAGTACAGCTGGCAATAGAGCTCAGGTAGTCTCCTGCCAAGCATATTTATTTTTAGATCTGATGGCATGTTTTCAAGTTATCCACACTCCATTGAAATTTATTCCAGAGAATTAAAATATGCATAATTCTCTAAGAATACTAAAGAATCTAGAAAAGTGAGTCAATCATTTCATTGTAGTGGGGGAAGAAATTTGCATTGCATTTCTCAAAGTGTTTTTTTCTGGAAATATTTGTTGATAAGACACTGTTTCTAGGTATTTTAGAAAAAAATTTTTTAAATATATTTTATCGATTATGCCATTACAGTTGTTCTATTCCCCCCTTCATTCCCCTCCACCCTGCACATCCCTCCCCCACCATTCTCCCCTTTAGTTTATGACCACGTGTCTCAAGTTCTTTAGATTCTTTATTTCCCATACTATTCTTGCCCTCCCCCCTGTCTATTTTCTATCTACAGTCTATGCTACTTATTTTCTGTACCTTCTCCCTCTTTCTCCTCCTCCCACTCCCCTATTGCTAACTCTCCTTGAGATCTTCATTTCTATGTTTCCATTCCTGATCTAGCTGTCCTTTTAGTTTGCTTTTGTTTTAGGTGTGGTTGTTAATAACTGTGAGTTTGCTGTCCTTTCACTGTTCATCTTTTTTATCTTCTTTTTTCTTAGGCAAGTCCCTTTAACATTTTATATAGTAAGGGCTTGGTGATGATGAACTCCTTGAATCTGATCTTATCTGAGAAGCACTTTATCTGTCCTTCCATTCTAAATGAAAACTTTGCTGGATAGAGCAATCTTGGTTGTAGGTCTTTAGATTTCATGACTTGGAATACCTCTTTCCAGCCCCTTCTTGTCTGTAAGGTCGCTTTTGAGAAATCTGCTGACAGTCTGATGGGCACTGACTGTCCCCTTTGTAGGTGACTGTCCCCTTATCTCTTGCTGCTTCTAGGATTCTCTCCTTCATTTTAATCTTGGCTAATGTAATGATGATGTGCCTTGGTGTGTTCCTTCTTGGCTCCAACTTCTTTGGTACTCTCTGAGCTTCCTGGATTTACTAGAAATCTATTTCCTTTGCCAGATTGGGGAAATTCTCCTTTATTACTTGTTTAAATAAGTGTTCCACTCATGGGTATTCCTCTTCCCCTTCTGGTACCCCTATAATTCGAATGTTGGTACGTTTAAAGATGTCCTGGAGACTCCTAAGCCTCTCCTCATTTTTTTGAATTCTTGTTTCTTCATCCTTTTCTGTTTGGTCATTTTTTTACTCTTTCTGGTCCAGTTGTTTGATTTGAGTCCCAGTTTCCTTTCCATTACTATTGGTTTCCTGTGCATTGCCATTCATTTCATTTAGTTTAGCCTTCATATATTCCTCTAATTTGTGACTAAAATCAACCATTTCTGTGAGCATCCTGATCACCCTGTGCATCTGAAAATTTGGCTATTTCTTCATCACTTAGATTTATTGGCTCTGGGGCTCTGAGTTGTTCTTGAGCCATGTTTTGATCTGTTCGTGCCTGTTACATAAGTGGAGAGGCGCCGTGGTGTTTACCCCGTCGGAGCTACCCAGGTCGCAGGTTTGTGACGCTGTATGTGGGGGCGGGGTCAGAGAGGGAACAATGGCGGTCCTCTCCGCTTGCCCAGTCTGCCTCACAGCTCGCCCCCACCTGCTTATCCAAGGGCAAATGTGCTAGTCTGCAGCCCTGCGCTAGTCGCTGGGGCCTGTGAGATCTGTCTCAACGCTGGCCTCTTCACTGGTTTATCTGCGTGCAAATGTGCGACCAACTGCAGACAGCTAGCAGCGCCTCTCCCCTGGGTTCTGCTGGTAGGTAGCCCACACCTGGGATCCGTACTCCAGGCTGCCTGTGCACCACCCGGATCTTTTTTTTGCCCGACCGGCTCTGCTGCTGGTTTCGCCCCTCTCACCGGTTTAGCTGAGTGGTAAGTTGTTTCCGGACTCCATATTCGATTTTCTGTGTGGTTTGGTTGTGTTTATTATTGTTAAAACTTTATTATTTGTAGATTTGGTTGTGCGAGGACGAAAAGTGTTCCCACCTACGCCTCCATCTTGGCGGAAGTCCACAGTTTATAAGATTTAAATCTGCCCTCTGCTATACAGCAATCAGCACGCCTGGCTGGACAATATCAGCTCCGTTTGGAGAACTTTCACACTTGTCAGATCCCCTTTCATTTTTTTCTCATATAGCAAGAGTGTTTAACACCAAGGTCAAGGGTAGGAAACACCTGGCAGAAGGCATGGTTTCCTCCTGTAGTTCTGCTTTTACATGGACTTACATATTTGGATCAGCAATACTATAAGAAGTCTCTCTGTCTTATCAGTTTTCCCTCCAGTGTAGTTTTTTTCTACTTATATTCTGGACATAAGCCCCTTCCAAAGTTCATTGACCACATCTTTATCACACCTTCATTATGTTTGATCCCTTTTTACTCAGTATCAACACTCCTAATCACACCCTGTAACTTATTGTTTCTGCTGCTTTGGTCCTTCTCAGATACCAACACGGGATCTCCTGAGTCATGTTTAACTTTTCCAGTTTGCATAGAAACTGTAAGCTCTTACTTGGTTGTCACCTACTGAAAATGTTAGCTTCATATACATTCTTTTTTTACTAACTCTTCTCAGAAATCCTTGCACACTGTATCTAAGACACAGAGCCATGTCTGATCCATAGTATGTTTTCTTACTCATGGCCATCAGTAGGTTAATGCTGATGCTGGGATCCAATTACAAAATATTTAGTCCAAATACAAAATATAGACTAAAAGTCATAAACAACTGTGGATTATAAGCACAAAGCATGCAAACACAAGATGTGGACCAAGTGAGTTAAATCATGAACTCATTTCCTTGTACCTTATATGTTTAAAGACTCATGCTGTAAACATTCCTACTTCTCAAGCATTTTGATTATTGAATGTAATTTAGGTTCTGTTTCCATCTGGGAACTGATCTAAATGGGATATAGAGGACTGCAAGCTGAGCATTTCTGCCAACTTTTCAGTTGGAGAAGCCCAGGGAATATTCGTGGGGAGGCTGGATTGTGTCTCACTCAGCAACCTCAGGCTGCAGATCACTTGAATAAGCAATTTTTCCAAGGTTGAGATCCTGACCCTAGAGGGCTCATCAATATCCATAATGTCAAAAAAAACTACCATTGTGGTATGCCTCGCATACAGACACTGGGCCTAGTTTCTATTGAGACCTCAGTAAAAATTCTCTGGCTTTGTGTGACATTTTCACTCATTGATTGCTTCTCTTCTAATCAAATCCTGCCTCTGAATTAGTGTGATTTAAACCCATTAGGTACATTTCCATGTAAGCAGAGATTATGATTAATTGATATCAAATATGTTCCGGTATACGTAAAAATGAAAACGCCTAATTCATGGAGGTTTGAGAAACGTGGATGACTACTGCATTCACTGTTTCTCTCCCATTACCCAGAATCATGGGGGATCTGTGCAGAGCATAGACATGCAGTGTCCATGAGGCTCCCACTGGTGTGTGTGTGTGTGTGTGTGTGTGTGTGTGTGTGGTAGAGTGGAGTAATTAATAAACATTTGTGAAGTCATGCATATGCTATACTAGGTTATAAGAGAGGTGAAGAGGCAGAACTGAGAGTCATCCCACTGAACACGTGTTCTCTATTGGACACAACCCGATGTGCATGTATGTTTCATGGTGTAATTAGAATGCACCCAAGTCTAGAAGTAAAACTGATTTCAAAGTTTGGGATTTCCTAATTGTGGGACTTTCTACTAAGCATTTATCTTTTTTGAGCTTCTGTTTTTTTATTTGTAAGATAGGATAGTAATATTATACTTTTCCAGCCTATTGATAAATTCATGGGTACGTGTTTTCAAGTCATTGTTTCGGATTAGGGAAAATACTTCTGTAAAATTAGAAATTGTCCCTGTGATTTCCTTTTGCAGATAAATGGATCACACAGGCGATGGCATTTACTCATGCATTATATATTTGATTTGACTGGGTTCGATTCCCATCCATTTGCTGAGCAATAATTAAATGTTTAGTCCTGAGATTTCTGTAGAATACATTTCCTACTTGAACTGGAGCAGAAGCTAAGATATACAAAATTAGGTAGAGTGTAGCATACAAGTTTAAAAGATGGTAGAGGGATGAAATAAATAAATAAACAAACATATGCACATTGAACAATGAGCCATTATTTCCATCTGCTACTGTCAAACAACAGAGCAGATGAAACTGAAATCAGTCTTGAGTTACTACAGGAATTTTGAAGACTGAGATGTAAGAGAGGCACTCTAAGCAGGTATCAAGCCAACCTTTCTCTCAGACACCAAATCAGATTGTACTGCAGGTCAGGACACATCCAGGGAGAAGTGAGGTAGATTCTGGGAAAGGTACATTAGAGCTAGATTATTAATGGTCTTGAATGCAAGGATAAGAACCGTGAACATTGTTTTGTAGACAGTGGAAATATATAAGAGTTTGAGCAGGGAGTTGATAAAATCTAAGTGGTGCTAAAGAAAAAATATCAACAGTGTATAGGAAATACAGATAAATAACTAGGATGCAGACAATGGGCTAGGTTTTCTCTACTTATTGTTGTAGTTGATAGTCAAAACAATGCAACATTATACAATGTGAGAAAGAGTCTGCAGGTAGAGAGCTTGGCTTTGTATCTAAAATAATATATTACTTTTCACTGTTACCTGCTGACAACTATCTCTTACCTGTGATAGAAGTTTTTTTATTGTTTTATTTGTGTTGGTATCCTGCCCAGCAGTCTCTACTAATGTCCTTCCTTTCTGAAATCAGCTCTGTAATGACAGATCAAGACTCACTATTCCTATCACTGGCTCTTCCAGGTGTTATTATTATCCTGCTTTTTTGAATTCATTCTGCAGTTATAATCTAAAGCACATAAATAAATAATGTAGTTATCTTCATATGTTGCATGGTTAACCTATTTATTTTGTATTCATCTTGAATCTCTGGTTATATCTCACAGTTTTGTATGTGTTGTTCTATAATTTACATTTTTGGTGTGTGTGTTGAGCATGTGGTAGATACTCAGGAAATTAAGTGCAGAGGAATCACTTGATTGAATTATGGTAATCCATTTATTGTAATAGCATCTATTCTCATGTTTCAGCACTTGGAAATCAGTCGATCTGCACAGGTATTCAAGTTGAGTAGAGACATGAAATGTTTAAGTCTCCAATTTTACAGCAGAAAGAAACAAAAGAGGGTCCAGAAAATAAGTGTAAATCAGGGAAAATGCTTTCACATGGTTCCCCTGCTAATTGATGACAACATCATTCTTCAAAATTAGACTTCAGATGCTGGAGAAAGATGCATCAGTGGATGTGCGCTTAACCACCAGATTCTTACATTTCATATATGCATGCATAAATATATTTCTTCTCAAGGGCAGAGAAAAGAAAAACATTATTTCTTTTCAAATTTTGGAGGGAAATTGTATAGAAGGTGAAATTAATCAGTCTCTAGTCCACAATAATAAAAAGACCTAAACAGACATTTATCTGGGTGTATGCCTGCTTCCACCTGTGCGTGCGCCACAGCTGGGAGGATTCAACTGAATTTAAAGGCCATCTGACATTTTATGAAGTACAGAGAAAGAAAAGTTGGAAAACTTCACAATGAAGCCAATGAAGACTAAATTACCCAGGTAATATAAAAATACACACTATAAGTAATTAGTATTGATGAGGAAATTAAAAATTTAGAGAGATGAAGCGACTCCTCTATAGTCATTTTCTAAAATGTTACAGAGACTAAAAATACCAAATATGTTGAATACGTAAAATGATAGCTTCTCTCCACTTTATTTTGTGCCATTTTTATGGCCTCATCATTGCCATATTTAATACATTTTTAAGTATTCTGAGCCTGTTAGTGGTTCTAAGAGAAAAATTGATGGGGCATATATAGATGTAGTAAGTAACAAATCTAATTTTGTTACAACTTTTTCCATAAAAGCTAGAATACACATGGCTTCTACACCACAGAGTTTGAGATTATGATTTTAAATTCCCTCAGTTCTTGCATTGATATCGTGGGGTGAATGTATGTAAGTGAACTGGTGCCTAATAGGACTTCTATAGTAAAGGCTGCAGAAACTTTTGCAACTTACTCCAATTTAGTTTGAAGTCTATATTCATTTAGAATTTATTAGTTTTCTGAATAAATGGAACAAATTGAATACATGGATTTAGTGATAATATTCATGCTCCAGATCATTCAAGACACAAAATTTGACCAGGGCGACATGGGGCTATTGATACCAGTCTTTTACTCCAAAGAAGTGGATATATATTCTGAGAAAATGACAATGAAACTAGAAAAGACAGACAAGTAGAAGTAATTGAGTTGGAATTTTAAAAAAGCATTTGATAGAGTATCATATAAAAGAGTAATATGTAAGTCTGACAGGTACATGGCTTTGATAAAATAGTGAATGGGGTAAAAAATTGCCTGGCATATGGAGGCCAGACTATGATGCTAAATGGCCCTCCTAATGGAAGCAGCAAAAGTTTCATCAATAAGGTCATTTACAATTGAGTTGGTCAAAGTACTAGAAAATATTTTCTGATAACTACCCTAGAAGAGATAGAGTAGGTATTCTAATAGGTTTTTCTTTTCTATGCTTGGGACTCCAACTGGCTAAGAATCGAGTAAGAAGTTGAGAAGTAGAATATCAAAGAGAAAAGTTCTGAGTACAGGCCTGTGCTTGTGAGACACCTTGAGAGTAAGACAAAAGTGCCGACTTCTTTCTCGTGAGGCAGGTAATGACATCATGTTACCTGCTTTAACTTTAAGGAGAACAGGACAACTCAGTAAGTCTGATTTCAGGAAATAAATTACTAAGTAAGTAGGCAACTAAATAAATAAGTATTGTCTTCTTCCAAGT